ATAACAATTCTAAAATATTAACTTACATAACAATTAAAATTGTACTAATTTTATTTCATAGATAATAAAATTGTGCTAAATGATTTTAATACATTATTTAATTTAGTTGTGTACATGTTTTAAAATTAATGACTATTTTTAAAATGTCGGTTGCAAGCACACTAAGGTGGAAATGCTTGAATCAAGGTGTTCAATATAACAATCAAACAAACAATAATATATAATATAAAGAGATAAGGGAAGAATAATCGATTTAAAGTGGTTCACTAATAGCTAATCCACTTTGTCGACATGCACCATACATTAATATGAGAGTTGTTTATGAGTTACACATTTCATGTCATAGCCTGCTAGAGTGAGGACATTTATAGCCCAAAAAATTACTTTCGGACCTTATGTGGATACCCGCATTTGACATTAAGTGGACATCCACATTGATGCAAATTTGAATTTCTTTCTTTAAAAAGCAATGGAATTTTCTTACAACTTAGGGGCCGTTTACCAAAAACTTACTTAATAAGTGCTTACCGATAAAATTTAACATTATTACTTACTTATCGGGTAAGATTTTAGTCCACCAAAACAACACCATATGAAATAATTTATCCGATAAGCTCTTACCGTGGTAAGAGTTGTTGTCTTCACTTACCGAGTAAGACTCTTGTTCCTTATCTCGTTCTTACCGGGTAAAATTCTTGGTCCTTGCCACATTAATCAGGTAAGGTAATGTAACATGGTAAACGCTTACCTGAGTAAGTATTTGACAAACGGATAAGTATTTGACAAACGGCCCCTTAATACTTTGGGATTTTAGATATTTTGTAAAAGATCTAAAAATATTTTTTTTGCCATCTTTTAAAAATACTTTTCAAAGAAACATGTTTTTTGTAATTCTCTCATTTTTTATAAAAGCAATTTTATAAAAAATAACTGGTAACAAACCCGATTAGAGATTTAATAAAATCCCCTCGAGGCTACTGAGATTTCATTTGTCGAGACGGAATCTTGAATAATTTGTTGGCGTGCTTCCCGAGAAATATTCTTCAAGTTCGGCTTGGCACCTTCTTCGAGACATATAAGACATGTTCTGAGATATCAACTTATTTGAACGTGGATGTTGCTTAACATGCAAATTAAGAATACAGATTAAATAATAACACACGTCTATTTGTTTGGAATCATCAAATAGAGATGCGATATATTTGTACCAAGAAATTATAAGTTATGTTTTTGAATAATTATTAATTAGTTAGGATATGTGAGGTTGATCAATTTTATTTTTACTGATGTTATATATAATGGTTATTTAAAATCTTGAATCAAAATAGATTTTTTTCTAAAATTTGTTTTAACAAATCGAAAATACTTAATATATAAATATAAGAGTAAACTTCAGTTTTGGTCCCTAAAGTTTAGTGATTTCTTTGAAAATAGGACTTGAAATTCAATAAGTCAACATGTCGTCCTTTAGGTTTTGGATTTTGCTTTGAAAGTGGGACATCATCACTAATTCTATTGAAATGTTCGTTAGAGCCAGTAGTAAAATCGTCTAATCATATTTTTCTCTCTTTTTACACCTTTTTTTGTTTTTTCTTATTTTTGTAAAAATGACCAAATAATAAGGACTAACCAAGTAATTAACTCGAATATATATATATATATATATATATATATATATATATATATATATATAGAGGTTGGTTATTATACAACCCTTGACATTTGTGCAACCAATACAACCCAATCTCAACCGTCCATTTCATTTGATGAATATGTGATTTCA